AATTTACTAAATTAATCTGTTAACTACTATTTGCTTTCCAGATTTTTTAAATGTTTCAAATTTGTTAGAAACAATTAAGTTTTATGTACGTATATATGTGTGTGTGTGTGTGTATTTGGGGAGAGCATGTAAACAACAAAGAGATCTGAGTTTTTTTTAACTGATCTAGGAAATTAATACTCTATTTAATATTGCTTAGAGAATACAAAATTATATATTTCTATATTCTTGATAAGGATCTAACTATGTAATTTAAATATAATAAAACATTCCTGTTCTGTGGGGCTTTCCTTTCAATATATTCAGTGATTACTGATCCCACTCTGACACTATTAATGAAAGGGATTAAAACAGCTTAAAAAAATAATTAGGAATATATAAGCATATTCTCACTATTTAAAGACAATTTTAAAAAGAGAAAGAAAAACTGTGTTTACATTGCAGGTAAATTTGTAGTATGTTACTATCCTAAAAAATAATAATAATATGTAAGGAAGGCATTCACTATTAATACTCCAATTTCCTATTTTGGCTCCAAATATCTACATTCAAAACCAGTAACTGAATTACCTAAGCAAAACTAAATGCAGCCACTTAGAAAAACGTGCTGGAATTCTTATTGAATTAATGTTCAATGGACTTTTGATAAGAAATGCTTATATAAGAATACTTCCTTTCTCTCTAACAGATTATACATAGGAAATCTGAAAATACCTTGAAAAGCATGCAAATTAGAGTTTGTGGAATATGTAAATGCAAATTAATTTTTGGCAATTTTACCAACCTGCACATATTTTCCTTTTATATTGGAAAGGAAATTCTAAATAGAAGGAAATGGCATTGAGGATAAAGTGTAAAGGAGTCTATTATGCTTAGTATTATCAAAGAGGAATAAGAAGCTTGACTAGTTTAGCACATTTAGCAACTCACATATTTGAGTATTAAATATTCAGCTAAAGTATTCTTCAGAGGTCTTTTCAAGAACCATTCTCATCCACAGTGAGACTCATGACTTTAAAATCTTGTGAGACTGTCATAATTTCTTATCTACATGACCTATTCCTCACTTATTTTAACATATCATCCAATGGTCATAAAATAATTCAGAATCTCCATATGGACATTTAATAAAAATATTATAATAAAATTGGTCATGGTTGTCCATTTCTACAATCATAGAAAGAATAACCATTGACATTTGTATTTCAGTGATTGAACTTACATTATTTTGCATTCTTCTCAGGTAATCAATCATTTTAGGAAAAAATAGGAAAAGCAACCTTAAAACTTCATCAACTTTGAAATCTTTTGACTCTCTGAAACTTTATATTGTATAAGGTGTTATCCATCAAAAAGCTATCCAATCTTATCTATGTGAGAAATCTTTTCTTTTTTTTTAACTAGCCTTCATTTTATTTTATTTTATTTTTTCTAACATCTTTATTGGAGTATAATTGCTTTACAATGGTGTGTTAGTTTCTGCTGTATAACAAAGTGAATCAGCTATATGTATACATCCCCATATCCCCTCCCTCTTGCATCTCCCTCCCACCCTCTCTATCCCACCCCTCTAGGTGGTCACAAAGCACCCAGCTGATCTCCCTGTGCTATGTGGCTGCTTCCCACTAGCTATCTATTTTACATTTGGTAGTGTATATATGTCCATGCCACTCTCTCACTCTTTTAAGTGCAATATACATTACATTAAACAGTTGGAGTAAAAGAAAGTCCGATATTTGATTACCATTTTTAATAAACCCAGTATATTTTTGGTTGAGATTTGTAAGTGCTAAATTTTAATCGTGTAATGCATGTTAAGACATAAGTTCAAAAGTACTGAAGAACTTTTAGGAAACAAATTTTATCTCTTTTAGAATACATCAAAGTGCTGGACTAGTCTTTAGATTAATGAGGGTTAAAATATTTCTATCATAGATCATTAAAGTAATGTAAATTATGTTGCAGGCTCATTGGCACTTAAGTATATTTTACAGTGTTTAGTTTGTGTCTCAAATTTGTTTTGATTTTAAAAATTTTATAATTAGCTCACTATATTTTCATCTAGAAATCATCATTCATTGCTCACCACATACTCATTTTTAATGAGAAATACATGATTTTAAAGGAAGCGACAAAATGAACACCAGAAAGGCAAAAAACAATAGCAATACACCCCTTATCACCATCAGAAAGGGCTGAGAGTCCAGTATGTCGATGTAGCCTACCTTCACAACTTGTGATATTTTCGCTGAATGACCTTGTCTCCCTGACTCAACCACTGGCATTTGATGTAGACCAGAAGAGTCCAAGTCACCCTCCTTAGTTCTTTGCACTTACCTCTCTGTATTTAGTCAGAATGGGACCCTCCCTTACTTCTAAGTGTCTGATAACTAAAGCTCTAGTATCACTGCACTTTAGCAGTGATCTTTAGAGCAGCCATCTTTATAAACTACCTTAGTGCATTATGATAGGAGAGGATCTGACATACTCTCAACTGTGGGATGAAAACTTTACAGAAACAGAAATCTGAAAGATAGTTTGGAGTCTGGCTGCAGCCACTCAAGTAATTGCATTTTCGGTTAGCACCCACAGCGAGTTAGAAAATAATGAATGCTCTCCTGGAAGAGTTTGTGATCTGAGCCTCACTCATCTACACCCAGTTAGTTGTTTGGTCTGTTGTTTGGTTAGTCATTTGGTCAGTCTCTCTCTCTCTGCTCAACTTTAAGGAAGGTCCTTTCTAATTTTCTCTTCTACCATTGTTTTTCACAGTTGATCTCCTCTATCCCCACCTTACCTACAGGCTGAAAACCAATCTAAAATATGGTTCTCAATGTCGACTGCACATTAGGATGATGTGGGGAGCTTTAAAATCTCAATGCCTAGACCATCTAATTCCAAATCTCTGGAGGTAGGGCCCAAACATCCATGTCTTAAAGCTTTCTAGGTTCCATTGTATATCCAGGGTTGAAAACCACTTTTCTATAAATTATGCCTGAGACTTTAAATTATCTTAATTGTGAGATGAAGACTTTCCATAAAGAGAAATTTTCTCCTCTACTTGCTTCCTACAATTTACACATCCCAATATACAAATGTTCTTGCCATACAATCATGGCTTAATAGAAGTTACTTCTAAAGGATTACTCTCTCATACGTACTTTTGATTATCAGGATATTATAAACTTATCTCACATGACAGTTACGATCACTGGATACTGCTGTGGAAATGACCACCTACCCAAGCCTGGAGCACTAAACTCTGCATACTCACAAAAATTGCTTGAGGATTTTTAAGATATAAATTCTCTAGGACTGGGCCCTGATCAGGTTGAAAATCCCCAGCATTCTGTCTAATACATAAATTAAAAAGGATTTCCTCCCATTCCTCCTTCTTTTTGTTTAGTATTGATGGTTTTACTTGATTTTGGTTATGGCTGCCTTTTAAAATAATTAAACTAAAGTAGATCCCTCAACGTTTAGTATTTTAGAATAATTTATTTATCTGGTGTGAATATTTGATTGAATATACACAACTTTCCAATTTAATTAAAATAATGTTAAGAGTAAGTGGATTAAACTTTATATTTTTCTCTCCTAATAAAAGGATAAAGTGCCTATAGATCTGTAATAGGGGTTTAAACTACTACTAAAATATGAGAATGTTCTTTTCTTACCACAAATCACTGCTCCCACTCCTCTAAATTATTTCTTCATAATTTCAATAGTTTACTCAAATTGAAGTTGTCTGTCTCAAAAAATATCAGTGTCATTAATATAAATTCTACTTACATGATTCTGATATAATTGGTCTGGCTGTGCCTGGCATCCATATACCTTAAGTTCTTCTCAGGTGACTCAAATGGAGAGCCCAGATTGAGACCTGCTGCCCTTAACCTTGAATAGAAACTGCAGCCTAAGGAAACTTTCTTCAATCAACAAGAATGAATGAATGAATGAATGAATAGCTTCTCAGTAGTTTCAATAGATAAATACTGGCAAATGCACACACCTCAGAGTGAGGACTAGTAATATTTTAAAACGTTTAACACTGGGGAGGGGATGCTAATCATGGTGCCTGATGTGTTCCAGAGCTGTGGCTGGTCTTTCATTTGCTTTTTCTTTAAAAGAAAACTATTTTTCTACCTTATTTTTCTCTTCATAGGTAGCTAAGAAGTGGTGCTTCATCCAAACAGTCCCTCAGTGAAACAAAATAGAAAAACGGACTGGGGCTGGCTTCCAGCAGGAAGTGAACCGTTTCAGAGTCCACAGTCCCCCTGCCCTGTGTCCATCAGCTCCTCTAAGCACTGTTGGCAATAGACCTTCTTACCTGTCGTCCTTTAAAGATTTAATTAAATATCTTCAACAGAAACAGTCTGAGGCAAATAAGTGTGAGCAGATATAAGAAATGGAAACCTAAGTCAGGAGAATTTTTTTTTCATTCTATTTGCTTAATTCACAGTTCAGAATTTGCATACAATGTGTACCACTGCAGATCTGTTCTACAGACAAAAATATAGTTACTTGAAATATTGTGCTTAAAGAACTCTAATGTTCTATCATCATTACATTATTTACCAGATATTTTTCTTTTTTTGTTCAGGTTTCAACACAGTTTTATCGGGTGGTTTTGTTTTCTGTGAAATACACCAGAGGTTGGGGGAGGGGACAAATTGACTTTACGATATAAGGGTTTTCCACCACTAAGGAAAGGGGTGGGGCAGGGTAGGGCATACTGGGGATTGGATTCATTTTCCCACCTTCTTTTGCTTTGCTAACATTTCGTTTCTCTCTCAGCAAGTACCAGAGGACACAAACACAAAGAAACAAAAATAGCAGGATGAACCTCCAACCAGGCTACTCCCAAGCCTTTCCCCAGGCTGCACCAGGGCTGGGAGGAGCCGGGTAGCTGCTCCCCAGCCCTAGGACACACGGGAGTCTGCTACCATTTTCAAATATCTGCAACTCAATTCTATGTCTTTGCCTTTCTGACAATGACTCACCCAGATATTCCCATCTTGATGGTAGGGTTTCCAATTTCTCCCTGTGTCGCTGTAGAGCATGCGGTATTGGGTCACCCAGTCTGAGCTGCTGTATCTTCCTTGAGTTGCTATGGCACTGATCTGCTTTCGATTGCCAAAGTCAACCTGAAGCCATTGATAATGGTCACTGTCTGATGGAGACCATCCCCCAGCACCTGAATAAGGTGGAGACAAGAGGGTGAAATAGGTATTTAATGTTGAACTTCTACAATTGACAATGGATCATTCTGCATCTTTTAATTGCCTTGGTAGTACCATATTTCACAGATACATTATGAAGTGTCCTTTAGATGCCTCTGGGACTTCAACTAATATTCTTAAAGCTGGGTAACATTGATACTGTAGCCTCCTTATGGTGTAATTATGTGCTCATTTTCTCCTGAGCAAATGTCTTCATAATTCCTCGATTAGGTCTTATTAGTACATGTCAAAGTCTAATTGGCTGAGGGTTGATCAATGTACCATGAATTCTTCAACTAAAAGTCACTAGGGAAAG